CTCTCTCTCTCTCTCTCTCTCTCTCACACACACACACACACACACACAGGGACCAGGGACATGCTGGGTACACTCAGAGGAGGAGACGGCCCAGCGGCCAGCCCTCCCTGCTCCTGGCTGCAGGAGCTCGGTCAGCCCCTGAGCCTCGGGCCTGCAGTCTGCACTCTGCAGCGGGAGGTCGGAGGCCCTGCTGACCTTCCGGGCAGTGGGCTTCACTGTGGCCAAGGGCAGGGGCCAGGCGGCTGTCCTTGGAGGGTGTTGCCGTCTTTCTCAGGGGTCCCCAGTATCTAATCTGCAACCTCCAGGATTTTCTGTTTCTGTTGGTCTTCAAGGCAGGCATCACTCCCCACGTCCCTCTGCCCCCACTCCTGCATGGAGAGCCACCACTGCCCACTTCTGCACCCCACCCCCAGCCTCACACACCCAGCCTCCACAATGCTGCCTCCACCTGGTTCTGGTGACCAAGGCCAGCAGTCCCTTGCCCTTGGGGCTCCAGTGCCCCTGAGACGGACCAGCTGACTCAGAGTCCTCCGGCCCTGAGAGCCACCTGCCGGGGGGTGACATGCCCTCAGTAAGCAACTTAAGTCCCCTGCAAAGATAATCGCACACAGGTGGTGCCAGGTGGCTAATGACATGGTGGCGTCATGGTGCCCACAAACACTCACCCAGAGGAGCCCACACAGGGACAGAACACAGCCCTGCAGAATGTCTGAGTCAGGTGACACAGAGAACTACAAGAGTGCCCTGGGTGGGACTTGAACTGGAGGCCACGCTGTCCAGCTCCATGGGAACCCAGGGGGGGAGGCCACGCTGTCCAGCTCCATGGAGCCTCAGGGTAATGAGGATGAAGAGAGGTGGCCAGCCAGGACAGTCCTTCAGCTCCCGTGTGGGCTTCACTGCCCGCTGGGAGCTGGGGAACTGAGGCTGGAGGCTGGCCACTGGTTTGAGGGAGAGATCCAGGTCGATGGCCGATGACCTGGGTCATAGTCCTTGGCAGGGGGCAGGGGGTGCTTCTGCCTGCCCACTGTGCCTGGCAGCAGCCATCTGGAGCCAGACAGAGCCTGGTGGCGTCTGCTCTGCCCGCCGCCCCGCCAGCACCTGGCATTTGCACTGTGGAGATTGAGATCTGGAAGCAATTACCCCAGGTGAGCAGGCAGCAGGTGGGCGCCACCAGATGCCCAGATAGGCCCAGGCAGACGGGTCGGCTGGGCCACAGGCCCTCAGCCCTGCAGCTGCCCGGGGAAGGGCTGGACTCCTGAGAGGCCCCTTTTCACTCCTGCTCCTTTATTGGTCCCTTTCTACTATTTGTGCCTTCGGTTTTATCACGTGCTTATTCTTCCCTTTAATCTCTGTGTTTGGTGCTCATCTAAGTCTCAGGTGTGTGCCTGGCGGTGGGTCTGCGCCTTGTCCTCCTTCTTCACGCTGTTAGTGGTGACGGTCGCATGGTGTGGAACTTGCCCTTAACCACTGTTCAGGACCCTCACGTGACTACATGACCCCCACGACCCACCCCAGCACTTCCTCTCCCCTCCTGGCCCGTGCCCACCACCCCATCTCCAGGGCTGACTGCTCTTGGCTCGTGTGAGTGGGCGTCCAGGCTCTGGTCTCTCTGACGGGCCTGTCCACTGAGCGGTGTCCTGTGCTGCACCCTCAGCCTCGGTCAGAATCTCCTTTTTGAGGTGAATCACACTCTGCCACGTAGGTGGGCCACACTCTGTGCACTGTCCTTCCATCAGTGGGTCCTGGGCTGCACCCACCTGCCGGTGGCTTCAACAGTGACCCCGTCCACAGGGTACGCACAGTGTCAGCCTCTGGTTTTGTCTGGGGACTCACACCTGAAGGACATTGCTGGGTCACATGGTGACTGGGTGCACTGGTGAGGGGCCGCCACTCTGCCTGGTTGCAGCTCTAAGGGTCACCTGCTACCCGTGTGTCCTCTGAGTGAGGCTCTGCCCACACCACCCCTGACGCCAAAGGTGTGGATTCTGACCTCCAGCTCTGCATACCCCCGGGAGTCCTCCGAGTCAGCTCGTCACCCTACCCAGTGCTGGCACTGCCCCACAGGCAAGGACGCAACCCCACACGACGGCCCCTCTTCAAAGGCCACTCCCAAGACTAGCTGCCCTCTGACCTCCAACTGGCCACACTCGGCCCTCAGCCTAGTAGCTCGCCTGCTCAGCTCCCGGAACCCAGGATGCTTCACTCACTCCCTGATGAGTTACTTAAGGGACAGTCTCAGGCCCTGGAGCAGATGCCCAGGGCCAGGTGTCTGGGAGGGGAGCCAGCTTGCCCCTAGGGTCACCCTCAGGCCCAGAGGCCCTCCCACCTACTTGCTAGTGTTCTCAGGAGTTCCACGGATTAGCGGACTGGACCCTGGTGACCGGCTCAGGCACAGCTCCCCGAGGCCTTGGTGCTTGGGCTGAATGCTCCCCTCCCTAGTCCTGCCCTGGTCATTCTGCCAACCAGGCCAACTCTGGGGGTCTCTACCCCCCCCACTTATTAGCACACAGAAGACTCTCACTCAGATCAGGAGACTCCAAGGGAAATTGTCCTGGGGCAGGTGTCCTGGTCCACCAGGATGGGAGCTGTGAATGGTCAAGAGAGGCCCGGCCAGGGGCCAACTCCAAGCCCCTGCACTCGCAGTGCCCTAGGGAAGGGCCTGCCGCCCATCTCTAGGTCTCTGGACACAGTGGTGGTGGGCAACGCAGGCCAGCCACAGCCTTCCCCTGGGGACATGGCCCTGTCCCCCACAGTCCTCCGTGAACACCCACGGCCTTCGAAGTGGCTCCAGCTCTCCCCCCTGTCAGGCCACGGCTCTCTCTGCCCCTCCTCCCCAGGAGTGCCCGGTGCTCTGGCGGTGGGGCTCTCACTGACCTGGCCCTCCCGAGCCTGTGTGTCGGGCCCAGGGGAAGCCAGCCCAGCCTGGCCCTCCTGCACGTCCCTGGCCAGCAGTCATTTTGCAGTTAGTGATTCATCCCTCGGCGCCTCCAGCTGGGCTGTCAGCCATTTGGGCCTTGAATGAGTCTGGGCCTGTTGGCGTGCCCAGCACTGAGCAGGCGCAGGGGCCCAGGTGAGCACGCCCCTCCACCTGCCACACCTGCTTCAAGCCCAGCCCCCGGCTTCCCGCGGCCCTGGGTTTGCTGCGAGAGGAGGGAGCACACCCACAGGAAGCCGCTCCTGCCTGAGAGGGTTGGGAGAGCCAGAGCTCAGCCTCACGGCACAGGACACCTCTTTTCTAAGAAAGCAGAGTGCCTCCTGCTGGGCACGCTGCAGAGGGCCACACTGGACAAGGGCAGCAGCGGGCCTCCAGCAGGCTCTGGGTGGGTCAGAGCCACGGTGGCCTCCCGGGGCCATAGACACAACTGGCGTGCACAGGGCAGGAGAGCAGCAGTCCAGCTGTCTGTCCACGCACCACCGTGGGCAGTGGGGGCCCAGGAGCGGAGTCCCAGCCTTACCCGGCACTTTTGAGCAGGTGACCTCACCTCACTTCCCTTTCCCCACCCAGGAGGAAGGAGCCTTTGGCTCAGGTCAAGATCAGGGGTGTGACGATGTCTGCCGGTGGGGAATATTAAAAGCTGGACTCACCTCCCTGCCCCATGCATGGTCACCAGTGTCATGGTGCTCAGGCAGCTGTAGCCCCGAGCCCAGCCTGGACTCCCCAGGGGCAGCCTCCTGCAGTGCCCCAAGCAGCCACACAGGGGCGCTGTTGGGGCTTGGTGGCCCAGCCCCTCCAGGCAGAGGGGCCAGGGGCAGCCCCGGCGCTCCACCCTCGGCTCTGCCATCCCAGTCCTGCTGCTGCAGCTGGAGGGTGGGGCCAGAGTTGGTGTCCTGGTTGTGTTGGGGCTGCCCACTGGACAGCCCTTTTCCCTCAGTGAACTTTACAGGGTTTGGTACCTGGCTCGCTGATGCTGTCCGCCCAGGGCGTCCACCACCCCAGGGGTGTCCCTCCTTCAGAGCCCAGGCAGGGGTTCTAAGCACAAGGCCTCTGCCTGCCCCTGCCCTGAGCAGGCGGTGGAGGGCTCACTGTGTGCTCGACAGGTTCTGCTGTACAGGGGCCTTCCTCTTCCCTGTGCCCTGCACCCCTGCCACATGAAGACCCTGTGGGTCCTCAGAGGAGCAGCCCTGTGCTCCTGGGACTGTGACAGCTGCCCAGAGGGGTCGTCCCGTGGGTGGTGGGGCTTCCTGTGCACTGACTTTGCAGCGCCCTAGGCTCCACTGGGGAGCAGCGGCCAGCCCAGCTCTCTGTGCCCCAAATCACCTGCACCTCCAATCACTGCCCACCACCCCCAGGGTCCAGGTTCTGTCCCCAGCACACCTGGGACGAAAGGTGCTGGGCCCACCTGCAGGACAGCCTGTGCACACCAACCCTGCTGAGCCCCAACCCTGGGGAGCGACTGGGCTCTGCCCCAGTGAGGTGCACTGGGGCTGTGACCGTGACCCACCCAGACCTGCCCGAGGAGCCCACCCTGCCACTGGGCAGGAGCACACTGGTTTGGCTTCCTCCTGCCCCACTCTTGACTCAGGCAGCTGCCCAAGCAGGAAGGGACAGGGACGTGGCAGGGGTGTTGACAGCTGTGAGGGGGCCAGTGCCCCTGGGGTCTGGGCTTGTAGGGACCCTGCCCTTTCCCTACCAGTGGACTTTCTGGCTTCGTGTCTGAATTCCCTTCTGGGGCTCTGCCCCCTCCCCTGACAGTCTGCAAGGACCATCTGGAAGTCAGGCCTGGGGTGCAGGGGTGGGGTGGGGTGGGGGAGCGTGTGCCCCCCAGACCAGGCCGAGTGCACCCCCCTGCAGGGGAAGTCCTTGTGCATGGAACGGGGCCAGCAGGGGGCACAGCCCCTCCCTTGGCCCCTCTTGGGGGCCCAGGCCCTTCTGGCCGGTCTCTCCGCTGACAGCATGGAGCCGCACAGGCTCCTCTCACCCACCTTTCAGGGATCTCCAGCCAAGAGCCAGTGCAGGGAGGGGATTGGGGGGAGAGGCCTCCGCAGGCCCCGGAGCCCAAGCCCCCTCATCCCCCAGGCAAGGGCAGCCTGCAGAGGGGGCCCCAGGAGGATTGGGGTGGGAACTTCTCTGCCTGAGATGGGAGCAGCGCCCCTTCCCCTGGGGTGGGCAGCTCTGCCATCTCCTTCCTGCTGGGCTCGCTGTCCACAGCAGCCCATTCTCCACAGAGCCGCAGCCTGGGGGCTTTGGGGCCCCAGAGGACCTGGATCCCCCTCCCAAGTTTAACAGCTGGGACATAAGGTTCAGGAGGGTGGGGACACATTGCAAGGCCACAGGGTACACTGTCACCCGCTACAGTTCCCTTAGCAGGGCCTGCAGCCCTGACCCCCGTGGGAGAAGATAAGAGGGTCCCCTCCACACAGCCTGGGAGAGGGGAGCAGTCACGGCCTGTGGCTGTCCCCACTGGGTCTCACACAGACCCCTCAGGGCCGTTGGTGGGTCTGTGACCACTCTGGGGTCTTCAGTGCTGGCTAAGCCCCCGAGGGCGCTAGATGCCAGATGAACAGGACCCGTTCAACTGTGATCAGGGTCTTCCGGGAAACTGAAGTCCTGTCCTGCAGTCCTCTCTGACTCCCCGAATCGCCCCTCGGGCCAGGAAGGGCTAGGGGCTGGGGCCGCGATCCACCGGGGGCTGCAGGCCACAGGTGCAGCACAGAGGAGCCTAGGGGTGGGGTGCAGACGGAAGCTGGTGGGTGCAGCCCCGGGAACTGCCAGAGCGCCCACCAGCTTCGGACTGCTGTCCGCGGGGGGCGGGGCGGGCAGCTGGGGACCCTCAGGGCCTCCCCGCCCCGTGCCCTCCCGCTGTATCTGGGCCGCGGCCTCACAGGCACCCGGCCACAGCTGGAACCCATTACGCCCCCAGCGCCTCCCGGGACGCTCTGCTAATAAGCGACCCTCTGTAAACGCTAGGAATGAGTCAGGTCTGAGCTGTGCGCGCTTTCCCGTCAGCGGGTGGCGCCGCCAATGCCCGGGGGACCGTAGGGGCGGGCGTGCGAGGGAGGTGGAGCCGGCTGGACCATGATCCTGGGTCTGCGGTGCTGTGCGCGGGGCCTGTTCCCTGCACAGAGTCGGAGGCCAGCGTCCCATGGCTGAGCCCCGTCCACCCCTTTTCCTCTTAGGAGGACAAGAGAGGGCTTGGAGCCTAGACACCTGGGGCCCTGCTCGGCCCAGGAGAGGGGCAGGCGCCACTGGCCCTGGGCCCATCCTGGAGCCTGGCTGGGCGTCCTCTGTGAGAATGAGCAGGGGCCATGCCCAAGACCTCCCAGGGACTGAGACCCTCACCCCTGGGGAAAAGGAAGTAGGGGTGCAGCTGAAGGCCCCTCAACCCGACCCTGGGCTCACACCCACTTGGCATTTGCCAGGTAACTGCCCTTCACAGGGCTGCTGGGGATCAGGATGGGGCCTCTCCAGGAGCCAGGCAGAGCCTGGGTTTGGGGTGACTGCTAGCAGTCTGTGGTCAGTGCAGGAGAGAGGCCAGTGTGTTCAGGGTCCAGAGGGAGGAGGCAGTGTCTGAGGGAGAAGCATCCCACTCTCGCTTCCAGAGTTGGGCACAGTGGGAGGACCCCTCTGTTCCTGCTGGCCTTCGATCCCCTCTGTCTGTGAGCCCATCTAACCCAAGAAGCTGCGTTTCTCTGCTGTGGCCTAGAAACAAAGGCACCGGCCTCCTAGCACCCCAGAGAGGACAGCTGTGACCCTCCAGCTGAGTCCGATGAGCTGGCTCACAGGTGGCACAGGCCTGTGGGCGGTACTGGATCCCTGGTCTCCATTCTGTGTTGCAGGTGGTGACTTGGGTGACCTGCTCAGCCTCTCCCACCCTCCCCCGGGCACTTTGACCTCTTGGGTGATGGTGGAGGACTCCCTCCACTGGCTCCTAGGGGTGCCTGGCAGGTGCCCATATTTAGCACCACAGGTGTCTCTGGGTGTCTTTCAGAGGTTGGAGGAGACCATCCTCAGCCCCACGGCCAGCAGGGAAGATCGGGGACTCACTGTGCGAGGGGAGGCCTCGCCCACCCCCCTGCCTGCCCGCATCCGTGAGATCGTGGCCAGCAGCCTGCGGGAGGAGCCACCCCAAGGTGAGGGAAGTCGGGCGCTGATCTGGGCTCAGGCCTACCCCACCCAGAGCTGCCTGCGGCCTGCAGCCCTCCACAGAGGTGCACCACCCGAGGGTGGGGACAACATCAGCCTCGAGATGACACGTCTCCATCTTTCCCTGGCCCCCACCCACCCGGCCCTGAGCCTGGCCCAGCCCCAGCCCCTCCCTGCTCGGTCCCTGCACAAGGCCACCTGAAACTCCCTCAGGACATGGTCCCAGCAGCCCCTTTGAAGGCTGAAGCTCTGCCTGGCTTTCTGGGGGACGCCAGCACCCGCCCTGCGTGCGGTAGGGACAGAGAACACCACTCATGTTTAGAAGAGCAACTTCACTCTCTGGGACGAGGTCCTGCCACCCTGGGGCAGGCAGCCCGACTCTGGGCGCCCAGCATCGGGGAGATCAGGGAGGGTGCTGGCCTGGCCAGCCAGCTGACCAGGTGCTGTGCCCACAGGGGTGCTGGAGCCACCTGCCTCTCTGGTCCACATGCATGAGGAAAGGGAGCTGCTGCAAGAGGAGCTGGCCCGGCTGGAGGACCTGCTGGCCCAGTCAAGCACCGAGCAGGCAGAGCTGGCCGGCAGGTACCAGGCTGTCAGCCACAGGGTGAGTGCCACTGGTGCTTGGCAGCCGGCCGTGCAGGTGGCGCTGTGGTTTTACCTGGGGGCCATCAGCAAGTCTCAGGACCAAGCACATCCAGGCCCCGGGCAGTGGACGGGGACACTGAGGCTGGGAAAGTGAGACAGTGCTGGGCCAGGCCGGGTCTTGCTAGGCAGCACCCACAGCAGCCGCTTCCGAAGCAGAGCTGAACGTGGGGTGGTGCAGGGCCTTCCTGAGCTCTGTGTGGCAGGACAGAGGGGGTGGCCGCTCACCAGGGCCACGAGGGCCTGGAGGACTTCCCAGGGTAGATGGCAGCACCTGTCCCCCGGTGACTCCCACCTGGGAGCTCCTCAGGGCAGGGTGCCGAGGGCCGTCCTGGTCCTGCCTGGGAGCACACAAGCCCACCCAGCCTGCCCTTCCCTCCAGCCCCCTGTACCCTTGGCAGGCCTGGGTGGGTGGGGAGGGGAATCTTCTTCCTAGCACTGGGCGGGAGATGTGGGAACAGGCCCAGGGAATTGAAGCCACAGAAGTCCTGCCACAGGAAACCGTGAGTCAGAGCGCGGAGTGGACTCAGTAGGACTAGATACCTCCAGGCTGGGCCCCCAGGACCCTGCCTTCCACCTGCCCTCATCCCAGGCCTTCCCCCAGCCACGGCTGGCTGGGCCCTGGTTCAGGTCACCAGTAGTGATGGTGTGGCCCTGGGTGTGATTCCTGACAGCCATGGGTGACTGCCTGAATGTCCCTCAGACCACCCAGAGTGCTGCTCTGGGTTGGCCGCCTGGGGACCTGGGGCCTGGTCAGGTGTGTGTGTTCCTGCCCTCTCTGGACAGGGCCTGGGGTGGAAGACAGTGCTGGGAGGTGGCCTAGGCTGGAGGAGTCCTGGCTTGTGCCCTCTGGGTAGGGGTTCAGGGTTCGTGGCCCAGAGCTGCCCTCAAACCCTCCACTGTGCCCCTGAGCCCCGAGTCCCTGGTGTACCCGTCTGAAGTGAGCTGGGGGACGGTTGTCAGGCCCCTCTGGGCCTACCAGGCCAGTGTGGGGTCAGCTCAGCCAGGGTCTCCTTTCCTCCCTCCTCTGCTGGCCACAGGTGCTGGGCACAGGGATGGGGTGTGGACAGCCGCCATCTGGCCCAGACCCCACCCAAACCCCATTACGGACACCAGCTCCTGCCGGGAGGCCCTCTTTCTTGCCCCTGCCCAGAGTGGGCTTTCCAAGATGCCCTGCCCCTGCCCAGCAGGGTAAGAACCGCCGGCCAGGTCTGCCACTCCTGTCCAGATGCAGGCCCGCCTGGAGGCCACCCAGGCTCGGCTGCGGAGGTCAGAGCTGGAGCACAGTGTGGACCTGCAGGAGGCTCTTGGCCGTCTGGAGGCCGCAGAGCAGAGGTGAGACCACAGCAGGCTGCCAGAGCTGGACCCCTGCGCCCAGACAGCGGACCTGCTTCCCCGTGGCTCCTGCAGACAGCTTTGTGTCAGCCCTGCCTGTGAGAGGTGGTGGAGGCTGGGGCAGGGGGCGGGGCAGGGGCGGGACCGCTCTCCCACATCCTGCGGCCAGGGCCCAGCAGAAAGCAGGAAGGGTCAGCCCCACTCTGCTGTGCACCTCTCAGGGGCTCTGGTGGTGCGGGACCCCCCTGCCCAGCCTCTGAGGGTGGCCACACATTGGCCCGGCCAACCTGGGACGCCTCTCTCTGCCTCTCCCTAGGGTTCAGCCTCAACTCCTGGGAACTTTTGGTTTCAGCCTTAACTCCTGGGAACAGAGCTCTCGCTCAGCTCTTGTTCACCCTAACCCGAACCTGGCACCCCAAAGCAAAGGCAGAGCCCCAGCACTAACCCAGCCCCAGCACTAACCCAACCCCAGCACTAACCCAGCCCCAGCACTAGCCCAGCCCCACCACTAACCCAGCCCCAGCACTAGCCCAGCCCCAGCACTAACCCAGACCCAGCACTAACCCAGCCCCAGTCCTAACCCCACCCTAATCCAGCCCCAGCACTAACCCAGCCCCAGCA